ACTAAAAAAAAGGAGCTCACACGAAAATGGCAGCTACTATGGCTACATCAATGGCCATCCTCAGCCCCAAAAGCTTCGCCGCCACAAACCCTAAAACCCCAAACCCCTCGAAGCCAGCGAAGCAAATCCCCCTTTTCTCCATCCAAACCCTAACCAAGGGCCTCTCCTCCTCCTCCACTGCCGCGCAGCCCACCGCCTCCGTCGCGGCCGGAGCCGTGTTCGCCGCCCTCTCCGCCGCGGACCCCGCCCTCGCCGCCCAGCAGCTGGCGGAGATCGCTGACGGCGGCGACAGCCGCGGCGTCGCGCTCCTGATCCCGCTGGTCCCCGCAGTCCTCTGGGTGTTGTACAACATCCTACAGCCGGCACTCAACCAGATCAACCGGATGAGGAGCGCCAAGGGGGTGGCGGTCGGGCTCGGACTCGGGCTGAACGGGCTCGCCGCGTCCGGGCTCTTCAGCCCGCCGGAGGCCTCGGCCGGGGATATCGCCACCGTGGCGGCGGCAGACAACCGGGGGCAGCTCCTGCTGTTCGTGGTGGCGCCGGCGATCGTCTGGGTGCTGTACAACATCTTGCAGCCGGCTTTGAACCAGATTAACAGGATGAGGTCAGATTGAGAATAAAAGGAAGGGTGAAGGGTATATATGTCCTTTTACATTTTTGTTTGGCTGTGTTCATGTAATTTGTAGCCCTAAGTACAAATCAAACTTTTTCTTGCACAATGATTGTTTGGTGATTGCGGGTTGGTTTTAGATTGTTTTGCAAATATACTCGGCTCAACTGCTCGTTTGAAAGCTGCAAAATAAATAAATAAACAAGTTGTGAGCTTTCATAAACCAAATCGAGTTGCGTTTAAGAATAGCTCAATTGGAATAACTCCTCTAAAACACATACTATTTCCATAACAATTTGATGGGTGATTATTTTGTACACCAATATAGCTTGCACTTGGCCCATTTGGCTAGCCAAGATTCTAATTGAGGAATTCAATATTTCATAAGTGGATTTACACAAGAAAAATAAGATCTAAATAAATAAAAAAGTAGATTCACCCCATGAGTTTTACAATGTTGGACCAAATATACACTTACGTGTGAGTACGTATGTATATTCATCCAACGGTAAAAATGCAGCACATATATAGTTATACATCACACACAAATGTTTCAAATAGAATTTGAACCCAAAACCCGACCCAACCCCTGAGAATCCTTTCGAAGCCCACGTGCTCGCATGCCGAGAAAATACCTAAGGAGGCAGCAATCGAGTAGGGCCTCTGGCAAGAGGCCCATAACGAAGGCCTGCAATGCATGCGGCCAATAGGGCACACATACTTGCTCTTGATGCCCGATCCACCTTAGACTTGCTTTGCTATAAGTCTCTGGAGATGGAATAAAAAGTGAAGCTTTCTTTATCGATGCCATCTTCGTAGCCACAAGCAACGGAATCTATTGTCATGTATGAAACATTTTAAAGTATATCATGTCAAATTATCAATCCGTAAAATGTAGAAGACAATTGAAACATTGTAAAAGTTATATTACATAATACATACCTACATTATTAGTAGAAAAAAGAAAAGTAAAAGCATTTTCATGAGTATTCGATTCGGCAGAGGAAAATTTACGAAGAAATTGGTGCACAAACCTGGCATTGTACATCAATTCCTTGGTGCTTATATTCTACACTGAGGCTCCTTGACAGCATGCTCACATACCTAAAGCAACACAAAACTTACATTAATTTTACTCATATTTCTATATGCCTCAGAGAATGTCAAGCTCATGAGCTCTATATGAACAAATCCTAGATTTAAAAAGGGCAAAAAAAAACNAAAAAACCAACAGATAAGCTCACGCTTTGGTTGCAGCATAGATCGTGTAGAGAGGATATGACGAGACGCAGCCCGACGAGCCCGACCCGACATTCACAATCACGCTTTTCCGGCCCTTACCCTTCCTCGCCAGCATCCGCCCAATCACGGCCTTCGTGACCCAGGTGGTCCCCACCACGTTCACCCCAACCACGCCATCCGTCAGATCCATGTCCACCTCGTGCGCGAACCTCGCGTACGGGTACGCGCGCCCCACGTTGTTCACCAGGATCCCCAAATCCAGCCCCTCCGCCGCCTCGCCCACCGCCCGCGCCACCTCCTCCGGCCCGCAATCATCGAAATCAACGGCCGCGGTTCGGATCGAAACCGCCGGGTGCCGCCGCCGGATTTCCTCCGACGCGGCGCGCAGTTTGAGCGGGTTCCGGGCGACGAGGACGAGGTTTAGGCCGCGGGAGGCGAGCTCGGCGGCGAGGGCAAGGCCGATTCCGTCGGTCGAGCCGGTGACCATGGCCCACGGGCCGTATGTTCGCTTGAGGTCTATTTCGGGCCGGAGGAAGGCATTCCAGATCCATCTGGAGAGGCGGAGGAGGGATTTGGAGAGGATTATGAGCCCTAAATAGACTGATAATTGGAGTGTCAAATTTGGTGGATTCATTCCTGGAAGTGATGGATTGAAATGCTCGTGACACTTGAACAGTGTACATATATATACACACAAAAAAAATGTATGCTTATATTATTAAAAGGGCATGGTTTTGTACATATTATTTTGTAAAGTATGCTATTTTCGAATGATAAAATGCATATTTATGAAAAGAGTGTGTGACATATAGTTAAGATCACCTAACATAAAATTTACCTATACATATTCCCTAGATCTTAGGATAGGATCTTCTCTTAGTAGTAATAAAAGACCAAAAAGTATAATAATGTCATAAACAATAATAATATAAGTATATAATTTTATTTAAAAAGTATAATCGGTTGGTCCACCTAAGAATATCACAATGTTTTTTGGTCCAATTTTGATTAGATGATGTATTAATGAACTTAAGTCATTGATGAAATGTGTAAAACTAATAAATAGTCAAAATTATTCAAATGCAAAGAAGTTGGGTCTATTTATGTATAAATTAAACTTGAGGATAGGTGAGTCTTTTTTTTTTTTTCATATTATACC